AAAAAACTACAAACAGTAAATGGTGGAGAGGGTGTGGAGAATAGGGAACCCTCTTGCACTGTTGGTGGGAATGTAAATTGATACAGCCACTATGGAGAACAGTAGGGAGGTTCCTTAAAAAACTAAAAATAGAACTGCCATACAACCCAGCAATCCCACTACTGGGCATGTACCCTGAGAATACTATAATTCAAAAAGAGTCATGTACCACAATGTTCATTGCATCTCTATTTACAATAGCCAGGACATGGAAGCAACCTAAGTGTCCATCAACAGAAGAATGGACAAAGAAGATGTGGCACATATATACGATGGAATATTACTCAGCCATAAAAAGAAATGAAACTGAATTATTTGTAGTGAGGTGGATGGAGTGAAGTAAGTCAGAAAGAGAAAAACAAATACCGTATGCTAAAACATATATATGGAATCTAAAAAAAAAAAATGGTTCTGAAGAACCCAGGGGCAGGACAGGAATAAAGATGCAGACGTAGAGAATGGACTTGAGGACATGGGGAGGGGGAAGGGTAAGCTGGGATGAAGTGAGAGAGTGGCATTGACATATATACACACCACATGTAACATAGATAGCTAGTGGGATGCAGCCGCATAGCACAGGGAGATCAGGTCGGTGCTTTGTGACCACCTAGAGGGGTGGGATAGGGAGGGTGGGAGGGAGGGAGACACAAGAGGGAGGAGATATGGGGACATATGTATATGCACAGCTGATTCACTTTGTTGTAAAGCAGAAACTAACACACCATTGTAAAGCAATTATACTCCAATAAAGATGTTAAAAAAATAAATAGAACACAATCAAAAAGAGATGTGAATGACAGGAGAGGAATTGGAGTTGGTATTAAAAGTAATTCAATACGTTTTGATGAGAGGAGGTAGAGAAGAAAGTTAATGTTAGGGTCAGTGAAATACAGCCAAGTGGTTTTGAGTGGAGAGTAGAAGAAACAGAGGGGAATTGAGAATGTGTGTTGATTGATGGAAATAGGCCCAGGGAGAAACATAAGGTGGACGATGTCGGGGAGTGACATTTGGTGGGAGAGCATAGTAGTAAGAGCTCAGAGTCTAGAATAGATGGGCTAATTAGGGTTCACATTCTCTTCTGCACCCACTAGCTGAATGATCGTGTACACATTTAAAAATTATTCTCTTCAGTGTCCTGTAATAATCCATAATGGACAAGAACATGAAAAAGAATATATATACGAGGTACTTCCCTGGTGGCACAGTGGTTTAGAATCCACCTGCCAGGGCAGGGGACATAGGTTCGATCCCTGGTCCAGGAAGGTCCCACATGCCCCAGAGCAACTGTGCACCACAACTACTGAGCCTGCGCTCCAGAGCCCGAGAGTCACAACTACTGAAGCCCGTGCGCCTAGAGCCTGTGCTCTGCAACAAAAAGCACCACAGTGAGAAACACATGCGCCGCAACTAGAGAAAGCCTGCGCGCAGCAACGAAGACCCAACGCAGCCAAAAATAAATAAATAAAATAAATTAATATATAAAAAAAAGAATGTATATATGTATGAGTCATTTTGCTGTACACCAGAAACTAACACATCTTCAATCAACTATACTGCCACTAAAGATTAATAAAAAGATAAAAATTAAAAAATATAAGACAAGGGACACCAAAGATTGCCAGCAAGTCGCTAGAAGCTGGGAGAGAGGCACGCACCAAGTCCCCCCGACTCTGCCCTGACCTCCACCCCGCAGTTCTCAGAAGGAAATCTGACAGTATCTTGATCTCAGACTTCTACATTCCAGAACCATGACACAATACATTTCTATTTTTTAAGCAACTCAGTTTGTGATACTTTGTTATGGCAGCCCTAGCAAGCTAATATACCATCGGACTGGCAAGGATGAGAAGGCTGGGTAATCCCACATTTTTTTAAACTTTTTATTTTATATTGGAGTACAGTTGATTAACAACGTTGTGTTAGTTGCAGGCGTACAGCAAAGCGATTCAGTTATACGTAGACATGCATCTGTTCTTTTTCAGATTCTTTTCCTGTTTAGGTTGTTACAGAGTACTGAGCAGAGTTCCCTGTGCGGTACATAGGTCCTTGTTGGTTATCCATTTTAAATATAGCAGTGTGTACCTGTCAGTCCCAAACTGGGTAACCCCACATGTTGGGGGTATTGGGGAGGTATGGGGATCCTCTTGCACTGTTGGGGGGCAAGAAGCTGGTGCGGCGAATGCAGAGTTCAGTTTGGCAGTAAGTAAATGAAAGATACACTTAAGAGCTGCCATTTGCTGTTGGGTGCATGTTTTAAGGACATTTCACGTATGTCCACAGAGGCACATGTAGTATGATATTTAGCTCAGAATTGTTTATCTTGGAGATATTTGGATATGATGTGGCTGTCTGTGGAGGGATAAATGTGTGGGAAGCAAATCAATATTCTACAGATCTATGAACGGACTGTGAAATCTCTGCGGGCAATGGAAAGACGAATGACTTCCACAGCATTGCGCAATTTACAATACAGTATACACGTTGCACGGTACGAAATCACGTTCTGCAGAAATGAACTGATTCACATGAGATTTTGTACAGTTGTTCCTTGGAAATGGAGAAAAGAAATGAGAACTAAAGGGCATACGTAAGGTAAACAAGGGAGAGACTCTGCCTAGATCCATATGAACATGTGCTACACCAGTGGAAGATGATTTATTTGGCTCCCAGCACCCAAGATGCTTCACCTGGAAAAGCACATTTTCTTCTAAGCTCAAGTTTTCTCACCAGAATGGGACTCAAGCAGAACCCGTTTCCCAGGCTTGCGTGAGGATCAAATGAGGGAATGCTTGAAAAGTGAGGAGTATTATAAAGAGAATATTGTG